TTAATCACTCAGAATATATATATATATATATATATATATATATTCTGAGTGATTAAGTGCACCCCAACATTTATTATTTGAAATAAATTGCTGATGCAACAATGTTGACTTTGAAATAAAGCACAACTTAACTCTTTAGAGCAGGGGCATCCGATCGTGGTCTTCGAGGACCACTATCCTGCATGTTTTATTTGTTTCCCTGCTCCATCACACCTGGTTCAATGGTTGAATGACCTTCATGTTCTGCAGAATCCCTTGATCACCCATTGGTTCAAATCAGATGTGTTGGAGAAGAGAAATATGTAAAACATGCAGGGCAGTGGTCCTAGAGGACCAGGATACAATATGTGTATATAAAACTGTTTGACCGTGGCTGTCTGTTTCTTTTAACTTGGTGACATTCAGTTGATCTGCAACCATAAACATAAAGATAGTGACATTGATTTTATGGGACTTCAAATAATGAGTGACTCACACGTACATTCAGATCATCAAAGCAAGTTTCACTGTAAAATTCACTGCGTACACATAAAGAACACTTTCGTGCTTTACGTCAGTCTGTCTGGAAAATTAATCTGCTGCTGCAGTTTTTCCAGACAAGATTAGTGTGACAGGAAATCAGAAATAGAATAATGTAGCAATACTATGAGTTGGGATCAAAATGCATTACATCATCAGATGTGTCCAGTCTGAAGACAAACTCGATTCATCAGAGAATCAAACTGCTGATGTTCAGCGGCTCTCTGGCTTGTTCTTGTGCACAGTCTGTCAGGAAAACATTTGGTTGAAGGAACAATGACACGTTTTAACTGGATAACCTGCACCTTATCATTTCAATGAATCCATAAGTAAAGCTGATTTATTTGGTAAACACACACAAAATATATATTTTCCAAATCAAAGCTTTCCCCTTCTAAGAAGAGTGGGGCTTTTAACAAATTTGACAAATACTGTTTATAATTCGTGTATTTCTTCATGTTTTTCTCAACTAGATTTTCTGGAATAGTCCAAGATGGCATTTTATTTTTATGTGTGTGAAGCCAACATGGTTTTCATTTTCTCTTTTCATTATTGTGGAGTCTTAAATTAGTAATCTGTTAAAGGTGTTGACACTTAATTATGTCACTTCAGATTAGATTGAATGTTGAAAAGCAACAAAACTGTCAAGTGATGCAGAATTTTAAACTTGCACACGAAACAGCTTCATAGTTTATTTTCTTTTTGATTTATAGTTTTCCTCATGTACAAATGTTGGAATGAAGTTGTCACTTGTGGACCTATGAAAATATGGATTTGGTAGTAGCATAACATTAAACATGCATGTTCCTAATGGACCCAGTCTTGTTGGGGTGGTGCGTGCATTCTTTTGCATGATGCTGATTTTTACGCACCTCCATCGTCCTCGTCAAAGGAGTTCATGCAGGGAAAGTAGATGGCGAGGGCCTCGAACGATGCCGAAAGGCTGATGCGGCTCTGCGACCTCTCCATGTAGAGCCCAGTCGTCGGGCCCGGGTCGGCCGGCTTGGCCAGGCGCGGCTGGGCATTCTTCACGCGTAGTACGGCTCGCGGCGTCTTGGATGGCTGTCAGCTGCCCCCCACGGCAGATCCACTTCACCCCGGAAAGAAGAGTCAAAACACAAGTGCCACGACGCCACCAATGACTGCAACCAGTGCACCAGCACAGTTACAGCAGTTTGAAGCAAAAATAAAATGTTTCGTGTTTCTCTTCTTGAAGGACTCTCAGACAAGATGTGAGCTCCACATGTGTAAAACCATCCTAGAAGAAAGAACGGCTTGCTCACTTTCTTTGGTGTTTTTGTCGCTTCTACCTGTGGCTTTCTCTGATAGGGCTGTATTTCTCTAATTCATTCATCTCCTTTTTGATTCTTGGCTTCATTAGATCCTTGTGCACATCTTCCTTTTCAACCCCTCAGGGTCCTCAGAAGTCAGAGTTGTTATGGATGTCTGTTGACGGAGCTTACCTGCGTCATTACACTCATTAAACTTGATGCTGCTCTTCTAGATTTGCAGCAAAACTCTGAACTCTGCAGGTCAATCTAACGTCTCCCTGTATGCATCCAAGAGCTTTAAGACCTGATGTGAGAGGAATGAACGGAGCGGAGGACGATGCTGTCGAAGGTGTTCACACCCAACGTAAACCACGTGATCGTCCTGTTTGAATCAAAGACTTTTTTTCTTGTTGCTTGGCATCATTAGCAAAAGCTTCTCTTTCATGTAGAGAAACGTCTTTCAAAAGCAGCAGGTCCCAGCTTCGTATGAGATCAGGTGGGGCAACATCAGTTCCAGCAACAGTTGCAAGCAAAGAGCAATCTGTTGCTTGTCCTCCCGCCTTGAACTGTTTTCCTCCGATTTGTCAGCTGCTGTTGGAAATATTCAGAAGCTTGTGCCTTTTTCGACAATGTTTGTCGACTTTCTCTCGCCGCTGTCGCTCCTGTGTTGCCCCTGTTGCCGTGCCGATGCTCCTCTGTCTGCTCCAAAGATGGGAAAGGACAGAATGAGGCAGAGATGGTGGGAGAGAAAGAGAGAAAGAGGCAGAGCTGCTTCACAGAGAGCACTCGTTCACTGGCGAGCGGCATAGACAGCGAATGGGGGGAAAGGGAAGGGAGGGAGGATGGAGGAAAGAGGAAGGAAGGAGGGTGAGTCGAGGGGAGAGGCAGCAGACTGTTGGTGGCAGCTAGACCAATCAAAATGTGGAGGAGAAAATATGGGTGTGGCTAAGAGACAGTCAATGTGATGAAGGGCAGTACAAATTAAAAATGTCTCTTCCTCTGCCTGTGTCCTTACTCCACCATCCAGTGAGCGTTCTAAGTGAAGATGGTGCACAATAAAACATGCGTGACGCTCCTGCAAAGACCTCAGCTCTCGCTCAGGAACATAAAAGCAGGCGGGGGTCCAAATTCACAATCTCCTAACTGGAAGAGGACCACTGAGCTGAGCCGAGTGCTGTTTTATGGATTAAACGACCCTTATCAACCCAGCATCGAACTGGTCCACACCAGTTCAGACTGGGATGTGCTGTCAAACAATAAAAGGGGTTCTTTTCAAAACAAGATGTCTTTATGTGTTGTTTCCATGTCACAACAAGAAGGTCACAAATTCAAAAGCAGCTGTCTTTTCTGTGTGGAGTTTCATATTTCTGTTTATTTCACCGGATTAAAACCCAATGAGACCAAGAGCTCGTTTCCGACAGGCCTGCGGCACATCGTAAAAGAGTTGCATCGAAATTAGAGCGGGCAATCACTTGGACAAAACAGTCATTAAAATGCAGAAACTGGGAGTGAAAAGGTCTTAATTTTTAAATCACTGGCACTGATTAAAGATCCGTGTTGCCTTTTTAAAACTCCAGTTCTGACGTCACGTGCGCCACAAGATGGTAGCTCTGACTCCGCTTGGACTCGATCGTTTTTGATTCTTGTTGTTCTTGTTTTAACTTTTCTGCGCCTACACTGCTCACCCACCGTACAGGTATGACCGCGACACACTTGTGGACTTTTGTGTCGCTGCCTTGCCATCCTGCCATCGTGGTTCAGTTCCCGACCCCCCTCCAGCCTCGGCTCCGGCCTGTCGTGGTGGCCGTCTCCAAGATCCTCCATCTGCTGCACGGACCGAACTCTACGGACCCGTTCGTTCTGCATGTTCTCTGTCTGCCAGACCCGGTTCAGGAGGCAGACTGGGAGGAAAGCTGCTGCTGCTTTTGTTGCAGTTTTTTTGGCGAGTTGAGACGGTTCTATTGTCGACCTCATGTTGATTTTACATATGACAGATAAACCAAACCTGAACCTGAACCTTTATTTAATAAAGGAGCTCCGTGTTCATCGCTGGTGCTCAGTGCTCATCTGCCTTGCATTCTTCAGGTCACTCAGATTAAATTTAATGTGAGTGACAAGGATTTGACTTTTTAGCTCATCTTCATCTTGTAAACAGCAGAAAAATAAAATAGTTTGGAGATTTTATTAGCTTTTATGTCCTTTTTACCAGAACTCCTCCAGAGCTCTGCTTTACTCCCTCTGCCCGGTCGCTGACTCCATAATGTGCGCTCTTTGCGTCAGTATTTTATTTTTATTTTTTTGCGTTCTGTGCAGAAGAAAGACAAAGGAGGTAGGAAATAGGCTGTGTAATCAGCATTGCTTCACGGGGCTCCATTCATCTTTGTGCTTCCACAGATAGAAGCCATAAGGGACACATGCACACACAAACTGCTATGACTGAGACTAATGTGCAACTTCACACAAGTGCACAGGGGAAATGTGGTGACTCATGCCTTATTCACATGTAATCACACACACACACACATAAACAGATACGATGCACACACACACGAACACACAGAGAAAATATATTAAATATAAATATGTACACACAAGCAAAAGTTGTCAGAAATGATCAAGTTGTTTATGGGTGAGACACCAGAGTTCATTCCACAACGTCAGTCGGACAAATGACTGGTCGCAGTTACTAATATATCACAGTGCATTTGTGAAAATGTCACGAGAGGCAACTGTGATGTCAGCAGCTCCACAAACACCGAACAAGTGAAGTTAGGCGCTCTAACATCTTGACTGAAGGCCAGTCCTTGGACCAAACTGCCAGGTAAACCAGAATGAGCTGCTGCTCAGCTTGATCACAGGTCAGTTGTCGCTCCTCACAGCAAGAAAGGTCCTGATATAAAAAGCTACTGGGCCCAGTCTTCATAAAGTCTACATGTGTTCACTGGCAGCTTTCATCGAGCCTCTGTGTCAAATTAAAGTTAAATTAAAGTTAAATGTCTGAATCTTTTTATTTGTGCCAAACAGGCTGGTCTGAGTATTTCAGAAAGTGATGATGTGCTGTGATGTTCACATCCAACCATCTTTAGGGTTCACAGGGAATGACTGGAGAAAAACCTAAAGGTTTTTTTATCTTTCGTTGTGGCAAAAGCTGCTGTAACGCTATTAAACGTCCATAACTCTTAAATTATCCTTTAAACGTTTTCACACCAGGAATACATCAACAGTCTGATCAGTTTTTGGTCACTTTGAATTGTTTCACATATTTAAAGGCATTTTGCAGCTTTATCAACAGCTTGCTCTATAAAGAAGTGATTTTGCCTGCAACACACGCGACTTCAAACTAAGGGCACTGTAAAAGTCTTGGAGTGGAGGTAGTCTTATGCAATGGGCATCACCAAAGTTTGTAGCCAACTGGATGTTTTTGAATCATTTGTTGAATCTTGTAATCCTGCTTTGTCTGATTGTGTGGCTTGATTGTTGGTGTAGTGTAAGCTGTGACGCAGGATGCGTTCTGGCTGAAGCACATGCATAATTTACCACGTGAACCCAAGTCCATCCTTCACTGTCAGCTTCCCTTCCAGCCTTAGAGAACAGAAGAGGACATCTAGCTGTTAACCTTAGAGCTGATCATAAACCACCAACTTGTGCAGATGTAAAATCCTGTTTTGCTTTGCTCGTTTGCATTCACAAGCTTTTTGTCCCATCACTGAACAAAGAGAGGAAATTGGACATATTCTCCATGTGTTTGTGCCTGTGACCATGATAAGGAGTAACTTCTATTTGGTGCTGCATCTAGAGCCAAACATTAATCAGTGGTGGCCAAAGCCACCATAAGCCACCCTCTGTCTCCATCATTGCACCTGGCTGTGGATGAAAATGTTCCCTTCTCTCACCGGGATCCATCTGCCTCGGACAAACAAAGAAAACCGATAAATAAAAACAACCTCATCACCAACACAATGTAAATTATACCAACTTAAACATATTTCACTAAAAACGTTGTTTACTTTCATTCCCTGTTCAATTCCAATCCAGAAAAACACTCATCTCAACAACTAACATTAAGTATTCAATCCTTCAGCGACGTGGAACGTCTGCACACCAAGGTTCAACGTTCTTTAGTGTCATTCCCATCACATGTGGTACATGAGGTGGAATGAAATTGTGTACTGAAGGTTTCAGTTACACCCAAAACAGCAAAAATTCAATTCAGTTCAGTTTATTTGTATAGTAGTCCCTGGCAACTTCATGGTTCCTTTATCGTGAACTCGCTCTATCGCGGTTTTTCAAAATTAGGTTGGACATGACTCATAATTGGCTGAATGATGGATGAGCCGCACGATTGGCATGGAATTTTTATTTAAAATAAATTATTTTAAGTTATTTAGCCCATACTGCTGGATAAACTTCCTGTTGCAGCTGATCACCTGTTCTCCGTGCAGAAGGGAGAAGTGGGCGTGGCCAAGAGTGCTTGCAGGTGGCAAAGAGCAGAGGAAGCAGGGAGCTGAAATCATGACATTCTGTCTCTTTTAGA